GTGCCGCTCATTCCGGAAAATTATCTTTATAGTAATTCATTTGTCAGTCAAACATCTATAAATAAACTTCTTTAACTAAAGAAAAAAGCTTAAAGCTCATAAATAAGCTTTTTCCCTTCGTTTCAGAATAAGAATTTAATATCAGTATAGAAATTATTATTAGTTTGGGTCATAAAAACACACCTGAAAATAAGATTTAAGCTTAGTAGTTTCTAACTTTTGGTTTTACATAAAACAGAGTTAATGGAAACTTTCAAGCTTTTGCAGAAAAAGAACAAACTGTTTCTGCAGCATTTGAAAATCCTCCAGATTCGGCTGTAAAATTAATGAAAATGTAGATATTCTGTTTTTATTCAGAATAAACTCTTTTTTTTGTGTATTTGTTGGTGTAAACGGTGTAAACATGATTCAGTGTTCTCAGATTTGACGGATTCAGAGGAACCAAAGTCAGAACCAGAAGCTGTAAATGAGGCTGCAGCAAACCCAGAAGGTGAAACCTCCCCAGCCTTTAATTCAAACCGACCCTCAGTCGGGTTTATTCTCTCTTTTCATCCTGTAAGCAAACGCAGAAACATCTTTCTTCTTTTTCTCCTTCTGATCGCTGTTTTCCAACATTTGAGAGACGTTTCAGCTGATTTCCTAATGAATCCGTTCCTGTTTCTTATTCTAATAAAAGTAAAAAAAATCCCTTTTTTTGTCCAAAAAACGAACTTTCTTTATTGTCAGTGGTCAAATCATTTTGATTCTTTCTTTCTTACTTCTCTCACTTGAGCCTACAGGAGAACATTGTTTCTCCAGTGATGTGCTTTTGCTGTTTGCTGTGTTTGGGAGCCTGTTTCCTGCTCTTGGCTCTGCCGGTCAGAGGCTTTCTGAGGAGCTGTGGTGGGTTTCTGTGACCCACGCTGAGCCTTCTCCCTGCAGAGCCGGTGGGGGTGGCTCCGGGCTCGGCGGTGGTGCTGCAGAACCTCTCAGAGAACATGTCCAGAGAGCTGCTGCTCATGCTGGTGGAGAACCTGTCCGGCCTGGACGAGAAGGACTTCAGCCTGGAGGTCATCTGGGAGTCCAGCACGGCCGTGGTCCTCTTCAGCCAGCCCGCAGGTGCAGACCCACCCCTGTGAGCTACGCAGAGAGAAAGAGGAGGGAGGAAAGCCCAAAATCAGAATCAGATCAGAATCAGGATCAGGTTTACTTTATTAATCTATTGTGGGAAGTTCTTTTCTTGCAGTGTTCCCGTTTAGAGAAAAGAGAAACAATAAGATTGTAACTACAATAGAGCAAAATAAAATATAATATAATAAGTCAGAACAAAATAAGTAAAATTACACCCCTCCCTTATAAACAGTGTACAAATAAGATATAAGAATAAAAAACGATAAGGTCTCAGGATATTCAATCAACAGTAAAGCTGCTCAGTACCTAAATTACTATTATTGCACAGAGTAAAGTAATGAGATAGATAGATAGATAGATAGATAGATAGATAGATAGATAGATAGA